GTAACACCCAAAAAGATTACAGCCAAGGAATACATTCTTTGCATTCTATCATGTGATCTGCTGACCCTCTTTCCAGGCATCTCTGTCTGGCAAGACCTGAGGTTCTGTGTTTGTTTTTCAAACGCTTCTGCACTCTTGGCAGCTCTAGCCCTTCCTAACTTGAGAGAAAACAGCCACCCAACGGATACACTCTCATTTCTATATTTTTCCCCAAACTTTTCATTTTGAAAGATTTCGAACTTCTGGAAATCAGAAAGACCAATAAACACACACGTTCACTTAAGACCTATCTGTCGTCAACATTGGTACACACCCTCTGTTCCTGTTTTTATCAGAATCATTTAAATTAACTGTGACACATAATTATATTACCTCTAGACATTTCATCATCCCATAATAAGAATTTCCTAGGTAACAATAAGCATGCTTCATTATCACTTCCACTAAAACGACTAATTCTCTAACGTTACCTAATGTTCAGTATGTAGTTGGATCTCTCCCTCTTACACACACACACAGACACACAGACACACACACACACTACTGAATTTGACTGTGGGCTCTGATCTATCCAGTACAGAACATCCCTAGTTTCACTCTGCCTTCTGACCTTGCAGCACAAGCCTGCACATCTTTAAACTGACTTCTACCTACTATAAGTCTCGCTTTTTCCTGTTTCTATTACTAAAAAATCTGTCCCCTCCCTCCAGAGCCAAATCCAGGAGGGGATGGCCTCACTTACTGTATTCTTCCTCAGGGCTCCATTCCTTCACTAACCTGCTGAATCATATTCCCTGCGCTCTCACTTGACTGATTTGGGTCTCACTAGTCACCAACAGTTTTCCTGGTGCCAAGTCCAAAGGGCGTTTTTCAGCGCCTGCTTTACCTGACCTCCGCTAAGCACCCGCCATTACTACCCATTTTCTCCCTAGTCCTCTCAACCTTGGCAAAACTGTCTCCTTCTCATACCAGAGGCTAGCATTCACCAGTTGTCCTCGACCTTCTCCTTCCCTCCATGGCGTCAACTACAGCTATTGCTGATTCCCAAACCCTTTCAGTCCACAACTCTCTCTAGAGCCTGAGAGCCAACCACGGATTTACCCAAACTGAGCACCATGGATGGCATAGGTACTGAACCTGCTTTCTGTCGTTCACTCTCCCATCACACTTCCTTCTTAAATGCTTACTTTGTGTACACACACATACACACACACACACACGTGGAGGTCAGGTCTGCCCTTCTACAGATGGTCCCAGAGCTCAATCTCGGGTCATCAGAATTTGACCTGCTGAGCCATCTCTCAGGCCCTTTCCTTCCTCCTCCTCTTGATTTAAACTGAAACTTTCCCTCTGCCTCATTCATGCCAATGAAGTCACACTGAATCCATCTGATTCAGGTGATGTCCACAGTCCCAACACTAGGGTAGCAGAGACAGAAGGTCTCTGCAAGTCTGAGGTCAGCTCATCTCAGTGAGCTCCAGGCCAACCAGGCTTAGAAAATGGAGATTTTATCTCAAAAGAAGTGAATAGTTGCAGGGCAGTGGCGGCACACACATTTAAAGGCAGGCGGATCTCTGTGAGTTCAAGGCCAGCCTGGTCTACAAGAGCTAGTTCCAGGACAGGCTCCAAAGCTAGAGAAACCCTGCCTTGAAAAACCAAGAAAAAAAAAAACATTAAAAAAAGTGAATAGTTAACAACAGGTAACAACAGAAAAAGCAGTTCTCATGTGACCATCACAGAGATACAGTGGTCTCTGGATCTCAGCCCTCTTCTTCAACCCAGCCTTGCTCTTGTTCACAGTGTGTCCGGGGTAAGCTGCTCTTCTGGGGCACTGCATGGTTGCTAAGGATACAGGAGCTAAAGCGGGGGAAAGCTGGATCCACCTAGCTTCTTCTATTTATTAACAACTTCCTTGAACCTTACAATGTTTCATTTATAAAACAGGAATAATAAATCCGATATGGGGTATGCATCTATAATTCTAGCACTCAAGAATTATAGTCAGGACAATTAGAAGTTCAGCTACAAAACAAGTTTGAGGTTAGCCTGGGCTACATGAGATCCTGTTTTGTTTTTCTTTTTAAAAAGGGGGTGCTAATTATAGCTACTCCAACTGAGGATTACACAATAGCATATGTGAAATATTTGTTACAATACCTAAGTAAATTAAATATTAAATAATAATTGTATAAGATGAAGTCTTAACTATTTCCCACAGTTCTTTTGATCTGGTCAGTCTACTAGAGCCATTTCATTTTCCATTAACCTGTTCTCATCTTTTCCTGCTTCACAGTTATCTGCCTTTGCACACTTAATTTTCTCTTCCTAAAAAGTCTATCATCCAGGGCATCGCCCACCCGAACAATTAACACACCAAGCCTGTTAATTGGTGCTGGTTCTTTGCCTCAGTCTCTGAGGATCTGACAAGACCCTGGGTGAATTCAGTACACTTAGTGCTCATAGGGTCCCGATTTATTCTGATAGGTTAGTTGATTGGTTTTTGGTTTTCCTCCCTGAGTGGCCTGGAACTCACTCCAACCTCTGCCCGCCTCTGCTTCCCAAGCGCGGACATTAAAGGCTTGTGCCACCACATCTGGCTACTCTGATGAGTTTAGGTGAGAAAGTCTGTGTTGTTTATGCCTTAAGAGAGGTGCCAACATGTCGTGGTGCCATATGCGCAGGGTATAGTCTTCTGCCTCTGCGTTTGCACTTAAAATGAAGCCAAATGCTGGTTAGGAAGTGGAATCGCTTAGGGCAAGGCACAGCCTGAAAGCTGCTGTGCACACAGCATATAGTAACAGAGCAGGGCACACACAGCTTCATCACACCATCACCCTTGATGATCTAAAGCCTGCATAGCTTTGGCGTTGAATGTCCTTTTAGTTAGCACGCACTTGGTAGTACAGCTACTGTGCACTTAGGATGCTGACCCTCTTGTTGCTCGTTTGGTAGTTCCCAGGTGGAGCTTTTTGCAGACATATCACTCTCATTAGGTCAACTTGAAGTTATTTCAGTTTCTCTCTTAAGAACATGCAGGGATGCCAGGCAGTGGTGGTGCACACCTTTAATCCCAGCACTCAGGCGACAGAGACAGGTGGATCTCTGTGAGTTAGAGGTCAGCCTGGTCCACAGAACGAGTTCCAGGACAAGTTCTAAAGCTATAAAGAAACCTTGTCTTGAAAAGCAAAAACAAACAAACAAATTTAGGGAATGGGGTAAAGCGCTGGACTAGTATTCACGCCCGTCTGTGTTCAGTTCTCAGTACTGAAAGGAAACAAAACAAATTAAATGCTTAAGTCAGGCACGCACGCTTTTAATCCTAGGGTTTGGGAAATAGAGGCAGGAAAATTGGAAGTTCAAGGCTAGCCTGGACTACATCAAACCATATCTTAATAAACAAAAAAAACACCCCCTGAGACCCCTAACTACACATATATTGTATAGAGTACACATGTGTGTTTGTGTGGAGAAGTCCACCTTTGCTGCCTTGCAGTTTTCCCTGAGTACTCACGTGCTCTAACTTGTATACCAGAAAGAACCAAACACAGGTCCTCTGAAATAACTTACTTAATAAATAAGTAATCATTCTTAATCACTGAACTCTCGGCAGCCTGCATTTTCTCCATTTATCCATTCATCTGCTTTGAAACTGACTTTTCTGCCTTGAAGCATTTTTTGTGACCCAGTTTGAGTCCCTGTCCTCATCTCTGCAACACAGCACACTGGCTTCCAAGCTCGCTGCTCACTAAGCCCTGGCCAGGCTGATGCGTGTCAGGGGCAATGAACAAAGCACAAGGTACAATCTGGAAACAGTGACAGTGGGTCCTTTCTATGAATCTGTTCCTTTATCGGGTTCCACAACTGAAGTGGATTTTTGTATCTAGTCTTTTTTGTGTGTTATTTTCTCCATTTAGAAATATTTTTAAAAGTTATTGTTATTATGTGCATTGCTGCCTAACCTGCATGTATGTCTGTGTGAGTGTGCTGGATCCTTTGAAACTGGAGTTACCGCCATGTGGGTGCTAGGAGTTGAACCCAGGTCCTTTGGAAGAGCTGCCAGTGCTCTTACCTGCTGAGCCATCTCTCCAGCCCAAGTTGTTATTATTTTTTAATTCCTATGTATGATTCTCAGTGTATGTGCACCACATGTGTGCAGGAGGCCAGAAGAGGGTGCCAGGTCCTGTGAGATCGGTGTGTGTGTGTGTGTGTGTGTGTGTTAGTCATAGGTGTCATGTGGGTACTGAGAACCAAACCCAGGTCCTCTGAAATACCAGTAAATGTGCTTGATCCCTAAGCCATCTCAGCAGCCTACATTGTCTCCCCTTTTCTGCCTTGAAGAACTTACAGTGTGTTTGGGAGGGAGATAGAGGAGGAAGTGTAAAGTGATAGAATTGTGTGAGGTTTAAATGATGAACTCCAGGTCCAGCACCCAAACTTGGACCCCATGAAGAGGAACTGTAATGGCAACAGCCCCCACCGACTGGACATTTGCCTACAGTGTGTTCCCGAAGGGCTAACAGAGAACTATCACAGAGCTCAAGCCCAGCCAGGTCATGTCACCCCCCACCCCCTGTTGATGTGGCCACCTCTCTGTCCTTCTGGATCGTCCTCCACCCACCCACCCCCAGCTCACCCCAATGGCAAGGCCTAGATCAGGTCCTCCCTCAGCTCTGAGACCCTCACATCTTTGAACACTTATCTTTCTCTTTACACCTGTAACAATCTCTTCTGCCCGGCGTGGCCTCCTTACCTGCTGTGCAGCTATTCAATATCCCATAGAGAGGCGTAACTACTGTGGCTGTGTAGTGTCACGTGAGAGTGAATATCCCCAGGGAAGACTGGAATAAACCTATCTGGGGCAATGGCCTGCTGTCAAGGGAAACCTCGAACTCTTGGCAGAACTGCAGCCAGTGGAACCCAATCTGTGAGTCTGCTCTTCGATAAACCTTGACACTGTGAAGAGGAAACGTGTCCCTTTCTGTTTCTAGCAGCATACTCACGACATGTGGCCTGCAAGTTTAAGTCTTAAAATGCGACAAAACACCAGGCAGGTGATTTTCTCGCACTGACAGGCGACTGCACACAGTTCTTTTACTCAGGTCAGTACACCAAGACACGTCCCTTTCTGAAAGCTGAGGCGCCAGGTTCATCACATTAAGTCCACGTTTTTGTAAAATAAAAGTATCTCCTCCTTAACCATTAGGGGAAGATATCTGACAAGGGGTCGGGGCCGGGCTCTCGTGATGCTAATGGATCCGTGGCGAGGGTGGCAAGCGGGGTGAGGGCTCTCGGACCGGCCGCGACGCCTGTGAACCGAGTTCAAGCAGGGTCGGAGACCTCGTTTCCCTCTCCTCGGTGGAGCCTCCGAAAGATGTCTGAAGGGAGTCGACCCCGAGGGATGGCCGGGGGACGGTGTCAGTCAGCAGAACGCGGGGAGGCTCTCGCCGGGGGAAGGGAGCGGAGGGGAAAGGTGGCGGCAGCGGCGAGGAGGGGCGGCGCGAGGCTGTGGCGGCCGCGGAGAGCCTCCCCCCCCTCCCGGCCACGGGCCCCAGTCACTCACATGCGGGCCCTCGCCCTCTCGGGCTCCTCCCGCCTCGGGGACACCAGTCGCCGGGCGAGGAGGATGGGCCAACGACTTCCTGCTTCCGGCAGCGCGACCCGGAAGCGATTCCCACGCCGCTGGTCGGGCCCCGAACACAAAAGGAAACCTCTTCGCTCCCCACGCTCCAAAACAGATCCGGCGAAGTCGCAGGGCGCGGGGGAACTCTCGCGATATCTGGAAAGCTTTGCGCTTGCGCTCTCTGGTGTCCGCCCCGCGCTACTGCGCCTTCTCAGGACTAGACTAGACTTATTGACTCAAATCTCTCACATTTACACTCTTCCTCGTTGTGTCTATTGGCCATTACTAAGCGCTGTACTCTTAGGAAACTGCTTCAACATTCTATTGTAACATAAGCATTCTCACAAGCCTTAACCTTGTACCAGCCATGGAACTGATTAACATACTGGTGATTTCTCTCAGATAGGGAGTGACAGTCAGCATTTGAGGCCGGATTCCTTAGTCCGAATTGTCTGTGACGTTAGAACTTTTTATTTAAAAAATGTATTTTTACGCGTTTTACTGATGTACATGTGTCTCCGTGTAGGTGTGTACATGCGTCCTCCGAGGCCAGAGGCACCGAATCCCCTGGAACTGGACTTACAGACAGGTGTGAGCAGAGTGATGCAGGCACTGGGAACTGAACTCAGATCCTTTGGAAGAGCAACTAATAGTGTTCCTAACCGCTGAGCCTTCTCTCCAGCCCCTATGCAAACGCCAGGATTCATGACGTGGATACCGCAGAGATTCAAGCCTAACTAATTTAAAGCAGAGTTGGGGATTTTTTTAAAGATTTTTTTTTTCAGTGGTGTTTGTTGTTGTTGTTGTTGTTGTTGTTTTTCGAGACAGGATTTCTCTGTTGCTTTGGATCCTGTCTTGGAACTAGCTCTTGTAAACCAGGCTGGCCTTGAACTCACAGAGATCTGCCTGCCTCTGCCTCCCAAGTATTGGGATTAAAGGTGTGTACCACCACGGCCTGGCTCTAAAGATATGTATGTGTATTTGTGTGTGTGTGTATATACACATATACATATATATGTACATATATATATATATATTAATTACTTAAGCCATGAGGATGGAGGAAGAGAGGCGCCCAGAAAGACAGACATCTCTAAGCACAAGGATGCTGCTCTGTGCTTCCCAAGGGAGAGGAGCTGAAAGGGAGAGGAGCTGAAAGGAAGCCTGAGATAAGCCATGCCCAAGGAGGAGGCATAAGAACAGACAGACCAATAGAACCAAATAAAAGACCCGGATATCAGTCCACACATCTTCGAATACCTGATCTTTGATAAAGAAGCAAAAAATATCAAATGGAAAAAAGAAAGCATATTTATTTATTTTTTTAAATATTTATTTATTATGTATACAATATTCTGTCTGCATGTATGCCTGCAGGTCAGAAGAGGGCACCAGACCTCATTACAGATGGTTGTGAGCCATCATGTGGTTGCTGGTAATTGAACTCAGGACCTTTGGAAGAACAGGCGATGCTCTTAACCGCTGAGCCATCTCTCCAGCCCAAGAAAGCATATTTAACAGGTGGCTCTTGCATAACTGGTATCAACATGTAGAAGAATGAAAACAGACCCATATCTATCACCATGCACAAAACTCAAGTCCAAAAGGGTCAAAGACCTCAACATAAAGCCAGCCACACTGAACCTTATAGAAGAGAAAGTGGGAAAAACACATTGGCACAGGGAACCACTTCCTAAATAGAACCCCAGCAGCACAGACACTGAGAGAAACAATTAATAAACGGGACCTTCTGACACTGAAAAGCTTCTGTAAAGCAAAGGACACAGTCAACAAGACAAAATGACAGCCTACAGGATGGGAAAAGATCTTCACTAACCCCACATCAGACAGAGGTCTGATCTCCAAAATATACAAAGAACTCAAGAAATTGGACACCAAAAGATCACATAATCCAATAAAAAAAATGGAGTACAGACCTAAATAGAGAACTCTCAACAGAGGAATCTAAAATGGCTGAAAGACACTTAAGGAAATGTTCAACATCCTTAGTCATCAGAGAAATGCAAATCAAAACAACTCTGAGATTCCATCTTACACCTGTAAGAATGGCCAAGATCAAAAACACTGATGACAACTTATGCTGGAGAGGTTGTGGGGAAAAGGGAACACTTCTGGATTGTTTGTGGGAATGCAAGCTGGTACAATCCCTTTGGATGTCAGTGTGGTGATTTCTCAGAAAATTAGGAAACAACCTTCCTCAAGACCCAATAATAACACTTTTGGGTATATATCCAAAGGATGCTCAATCGTGCCACAAGGACATGTGCTCAACTATGTTCATAGCAGCTTTGTTTGTCATAGCCAGAACCTGGAAATAACCCAAATGTCCCTCGACTGAAGAATGGATAAGAAAAATGTGGTACATTTACACAATGGAGTACCACACAGCAGAAAAAAATAACGATAGCTTGAATTTTGCAGGAAAATGGATGGAGCTAGAAAACATTATTTTGAGTGAGGTAACCCAGACATAGAAAGACAATAATCACATGTGCTCACTCATAGTTGGTTTTTAAACATAAAGCAAAGAAAGCCAATCTACAAACCACAATCCCAGAGAACTTAGACAACAATGTGAACACTAAGAGAGACTTACATAGATCTAATCTACATGGGAAGTAGAAAGTAGAAAAAGACAACATCTCCTGAGTAAATTGGGAGCATGGGGACTTTGGGGGAGGGTTGAAAGGGGGAGGGGAGAAGTAGGGAGGGGAGCAGAGAAAAATGTAGGGCTCAATAAATATCAATTAAAAAAAAACCGCACGTAACTCCAATTCTAGGGGATCGGACATGCTCTTCAGGCCTCTGTGGGCTCATGTGTGCCCATGGCGCACACACACACATCCAGGCACATACACATACACACTAAATAATTACAAAGTCATTTTTATTTATCTAACCTTTGATGGGAGAGTTCCCCATGCACTCTTACCCCCAGCTCTGTTGGGCTTATAAGTCCGCTGCATTAAGGGTTCAGATTTCTTTTCTGTAATATCTTTTGCTCAGTTTTCCTGGGAATTGAGAATTAGGGTTTACATTTGCTTTGTTTTCGCCTTGCTGTGTTGGAAGTGGGCGGGTGGGAGGGAGGAGGCATCTTAGAACAGAAAAAACGATGTAAATATTTCCCTGCTTCTCTGTTGTTAATTATGGGATGTTTAATGTAAAACATTCATTTCCCTTGTGGTTCACTGAACTTGGAGCAAGCTGTTTGGGCCAGACTGAATGGCCAGCCAGCTCCGTGCATTCTAGGTCGTTGCTTTCCTAGTGTGGCAGTCACAGGTGCATACCCTCCTGTGCGGAGGTTACCGGTGTATACCCGCCTGTGCGGAGGTCATGGGTGCATAGCCTCCTGTGAGGAGGTCACAGGTGCTTACTCTCCAGTGCAGAGGTTATGGATGCATATCCTGTGCCGAGGTCACAGATGCATACCCTCCAGTGCGGAGGTCACAGGTGCATACCCTGTGGAAACCTATTGAAAGCTAGTTTTTGTTTTTAAGAAAGGGTTTCTCTATGTAGCCCTGGCTGGCCTCAAACTCACAGAGATCTGCCTGCTCTGCCTCTCAAGTGCTGGGATAAAAGGTGTATACCACCACAGTCAGTCAGTCTTTTTTGTTTTCTGTTTTGAGACAGGGCGTCTCTGAGTATCCCTAGCTGTCCAGGAACTCGTTCTGTAGGCCAGGCAGCCCTCGAACTCAGAGATCTGCTTGCCTCTGCCTCGGAGCCCTGGGATTAAAGGCGTGCGCCACACTGCTGGATGCAGTCATTTTAATTCTTGTCATCCTCTTCCCAAGCCCTTTCCTCTTTCCACACGGTCCTTACTTTGAGTCTGGAGGATCAGATTTGCCACGTGGCACCTAACTGCAGGGTTTCAGTTTTCACATCTGAAAAACAGGAATAGTGTTATCCACAGGATTGATTTGTGAAACAGATAAAATAAGAAAGTGCGCTGGGTGTGGTGATGCACGCCTTTAATCCCAGCACTCGGGAAGCAGAGACAGGCGAATCTCTGTGAGTTCGAGGCCAGCCTGGTCTACCTAGTGAGTTCCAGGACAGCCAGGACTACGTAGTAAATAATATACTTCGTTTCTGAGCCAACCCAGTTAGGGAACTTAAAAAAAATTCTTCAATGTTTGGACATCCTGCCAATCAGAATGAAAACGGTTGTCCCGCCTTCCGTGTCTAAACAGACCAATCACCGTTCCGGAGCATGGCGCGAATCGCCGCAGAAGGATCTTGCACTTGTCTGTGGCCCTGTACTGGGTAGCTCATCTTGCAAGCCCCTTCCCAGCCTCAAAAGAGAGGCTTCATCTTCCTTGTCCCAGTGCCATAAACCCTACCATCAAAACCGGCTGATCGGCGGGAACCGGAAGTGTGCGTACCTGTGACGGGTCCCCCATGATCTCCGCCGGAAGTAGCAATTGCTAAGAGGATACCTTCTTCGCTCAGAATGGCGGCGATTCCCCCTGACACATGGCAGCCGCCCAACGTCTACCTGGAGACTAGGTGAGGGTTGGGGGCCGGACTGGCCAAGAAGGAGACGTGGGTTCGTGCCGCAGCGGCCAGGCTAAGGGAGGCCGGCCTGACTCGCACGTGGACGGCATGGAGCTGCGGCCGGGAGTACCCGTGAGTTCTGAAGGGACCTCAGGGGAGCCCCTCCAGCACCGCGGGAGATCTCGATAACGTATTTGCTGTCTTTTTCCCACCCGGTTCATTAGTTCATTTATCTGTATCCATCTTCATTCATTCATTCATCCACCCACTTACTCTCAACAAGTGTGTGTGGAGGCCACAAGCCACGCATGTAGGACCTGGACTTTTGAGGACCCAGAACAAGATAAAACAGTGTATTATGGTGAAGGAGACGGACGTGTGAACACTACGGGAAAAATAGTAGGGCCGTTTGAACAGATTGCTTTGAAAGTAGAGGAAGACGAATTTTCTCCACGAAATTTGATCTTTGGGCTGAGTGGTGCATTTGGTAGAGAGCTTAGCATGCTGAGGTCCCGAACTCGGTCTCCAGGACCGCGTATATGGTGTGGTTGGCACTTGTCTACGATCCTAGCTCTCTGGAGGTGAAAGCAGGAGGATCAGAAGTTCGGTCTCTGCGTCAGGGACAGGTAGAATGCTTACAACTAGGACCTGAGTTGAAAGTCCAGCACCACGGGCAAAAGATGTGTATTCCCTGGGGTTGTGAGACCTGTGTTTAATTCCAGGAGGCAGAACTCGAGTTCAAGGCCTGCCTGGGCTACCTAACAAGTTCCAGGCCAGTCAGGGCTCCACAGTTAGACCCTATCTCAGAAAGTGGGGGGGGGGGAGATAAAGAAAGGGAAAGTTCAAGGTCGTCCTTGGCTGTACATAGAGTTCAAGGCTAATCAGAGCTGCACGAGACCCCAGCTCGAAAAAGATAAAGTGACCTAACAGTACAATTAAGGCACCTCCTACTAGTGCCAGGCCTCCGGTGTGTGGTTCCATTTGGTTTAATCTTGCTAGCAGCTCCTATCATGAAGGCATTGTTTCACACACACACACACACACACACACACACCTCCAGCTTTAACTGGGGAAATGCTACCTTTTACAGATTTACCTATAACCTGAGTTTCACAGTGGAGAGAACCTTGCTTGGAGCCTGGTCAGCCTGCCTACATTTATTTCGTTATTGTATGTGTGTAGGGGTGTATGTGCACACCACATGGAAATCAGAGGACAACTTGCAAGAGTCAGCAATGGTTTTTTTTGTGAGACAGGGTAACCCTGGCTGTTCTGGAACTCACTTTGTAGACCATGCTGGCCTCGTACTCACAGAGATCCACCTGCCTCTGCCTCCCGAGTGCTGGGATTAAAGGTGTGCGCCACCACTCTCCAGCATCAGTCCAGCGTCAATCACAAAATACATTGACAGTTAACTCTAGGTAGTGTAAAAGATGCGGGGTAATCCTTGAAAGCCGCTTCCCTCCAGGAAACCACTAGTGACAACTTGTTGATGGTTGTCCAGATTTCTGTCACGTGTGTGTCTTATCTCAGCAGAGTTGGCACAACAGTGTGTAGCTGCCTGTGGTGCGGTAGTTCCTGTGTTAGCTGCCTTTCAAGAGTTTATAAGTTGCTTCTAGTTTTCTTTGCTTTCTTTTTCTTTGCTTTCTTTTTTTTTTATTTTTTCAAGACAGGGTTTCTCTATGTAGCCTTGACTCTCCTGGAACTTGTTTTGTAGGCCAGGCTGGCCTTGAACTCTATAATGGAGGTCCACCTGCCCCTGCCTCCCAAGCCCTAAGATGAAAGGTGCGCACCACCGCCCAGTCTATTCTTAGTTTTCCTACTGTGACAGATGCTGCTTCTGTGGTATTGGTCATATTTGTACACACAGACTCTTAGGCTACTATAACTTTTCTTAGAGAACAGATATTTAGAAGTTGAAATTGCTCAGGGACACATCAATTATGTAAGTACTTCATGCCTGCCATTCGCTGTCATTTTATTTAGAAAACGCCTAGTAGGGCTGGTTGATGGCTCAGATACAGGGGTTTGCCACCAAGCCTGAGGATGCGATCCCTGCTGTGGCGGGGGAGAGAACTGGCTCCTGACAGTCTTCCTCTGACCTCTACACTTGTGTCACACACGCTCATAGCCACACACACACACACACACACACAGAATAAATAAGTGTAATTAAGAAGAGTACACATCAACACACAAAATAGGAAGGAAAAAACTCACGCAAATGTCAGCTCCCAGGGGAAGAACTCCTCAGATATTGCCTCCCACAGCATGGCTGGACCTGTGTTTGCTGGCAGCCAGCAGAAGGATGAACTGCAGACAGGAAGACTGCCAGAAAGTGATTTTCTAGTACATTCTATATACATTTATTTATTTATTTATTTATTTATTTATTTTTAAAATATTTTTTCATTTATTATGCATTCAATATCTGCCTACATGTGTGCCTGCAGGCCAGAGAGGGCACCAGATCTCATTACAGATGGTTGTGAGCCACCATATGGTTGCTGGGAATTGAACTCAAGACCTTTGGAAGAGCAGGCAATGCTCTTAACCACTGAGCCATCTCTCCAGCCCCCCATTTATTTATTTATAATGAATTTATTTACTTTAGATTTTTGAGACAGTTTCCCTGTCTCTGGCTGTCCGGAATTCACTCTGTAGACTAGGCTTCAAACTCAGATATGCCTGCCTCTCCCGAGTACAGGGATTAGAAAGGTGTGTGGCTCTCCCACTGGGCTCTACTGGAGTGCTCACACTGCTGGGCCCCCTGTGTCTGGGCCACACTGACTCAACTCAGCCCTCACATCCCTAGAACTCAGTGGGTGATGACATACAGCATGAGTCCCACTACCCCTGCCTTATCTCTTGCTCTGTTTTGTCCTTAGAGGTTCTAGAGGGAGACAATAAAAACACCCATACCAGGTGTGTGCAGACACGTGCAGTAAGCAGCCTCAGAGTCTGTTTTCCACGTTCTTTCCTTCAGATTTCCCTTTCATCTTTATGTGTGCGGATGTGCGCACATAAGTGCAAGTTCCGGCAAAGGCTGGAGGCATCAGATCCCCTGGTGCCGGAGCCAGTGGTAGGGATGGAACTCCGGTCCTCTGTAAGAGCAGTACCTGCTCTTAGCAGCCGAGCCACCTCCAGCCCTGTCTGACCCTCCTTTGAATGCACAAACTGCTTTTATCTTTCTATTCAACTGTGGTTTTACTAGGTGATATATTTACATGACCAAAAATATAAAAGTTAGAAAGGTGTTTATGAACATCCACCACCACTGATGTAAATGTCTATAAACTTCCCACACTTTAGTATCTTTTCTTAAATCTACAGATGGTGTGCGAGGCCCTTTTCCTTGTTTAGAGTTGGTTTTGGAGCATCGGTATATGCACTTAGAATCCTGCCTTGTTTGCAGGTTTTTGTTTTTGTTTTTTTTGTTTTTTTTTTGCTTAGAATATAAGGCAGAAGCTGTCCTGCGTGTCACACTCGGGTGCCTGGCAGTAGCCTTGTTGCCTTGTGGGTTGTTTCCTTCTGAGTGTAAACTCTGGTCACAGGTTGATGCCTCACCGGTTGAACAACAAAAGTGTTATAAAGTCCCACGCGGCTCCCTGCCGCGACCTTGCTGACTGCCTGTGCTGTCTGTCCCTACTGCAGCATGGGGATCATTGTGTTGGAGCTGTACTGGAAGCATGCTCCGAAGACCTGTAAGAACTTTGCAGAGCTGGCTCGGCGGGGCTACTACAACGGCACCAAATTCCACAGGATCATCAAGGACTTCATGGTCCAAGGCGGTGACCCAACAGGGACAGGTACAGTTATGCTACTGCACTTTTCAAATCTCACTCAGTCATACCTGCGTGGTAAGGCAGCCTCGGCTTGCTTTTCCATGTGCTGAATCTGGTTCGTTTTTCTTTGAGACAGGGCCTTATAGCTCAGGCTAGCCTCCTATTCACTGAAAACGACCTAATCCTCTGATCTTCCTACCTTTATTTCCTCAGTGCTGGGATTTCTGTGTGCTACCATGCTCAGCTTTTGTAGGGTTGGGGATTGAACCCCAGGGCTTCCAGTACACCGGGCAAGCCCTCTGCCAACTGAGCTGCATCGGTAGCAACACTGCCCACTCCCCTCCCCCAAACACTCTACCAACTGAGCAGCATTGATAGCTAGCCACTGCCCCCCCACCGTCTCGCTGTCAGATAGGGTATCAAGGTAGCCCAAGCTGTCCTTGAACTCCTGATCCTTCTGCTTCCACCTCCCACAGCTGGATTATAGGCACTTGCTGGCTCTGGTTCACTGAATCTGCTGCTGGTTCCTGCCTTCTTCCGAGCACATATGTAACTAACTCACTGGAGAGACTCCTCACTCCGCAGCATGGTAGTTTCTCAGGACTTTCTTGTGTCCTTCACTAAGAGCTGATGATACTGCTAGACCCGGAGTGGCGTGGAATTCGATCAGTCACAGGTGAAAAAAGACAATACTGGGTCTTGGAAAATAAAGTCTGGATTCCTTTATTAACTCGTTCATCTGACAAGCGTTGAGCATGGGCTTTGTGTCAAAGCACCTACTCGAAGCTCTGGGGACACAACTGTGAGCAAAGAGACAAATAAGAGAGTCAGGTTTGGAAGGATGCTGCTGGAGCTCTGACGTGGGGGCGGAGCCTGTGTAGCCCTTGCAGAAGGAAGAATAGACGAAACCTCCTGAGAAGGGCACAGCCACTGCTGTGTTGTGAGCACAGTGGCAGGCTTTGGCCTCTGTTCAGAGGTCATTGGCTGCTATTGGAGATTAGATGAAAGGGCAAGAATGCGGCCCCAGGCAGGCGTGATGGCACACTCAGGAGACAGAGGCAAGCAGATCTTTCAGTTTAAGGCCAGCCTGGTCTACAGAGCAACTTCTAGGACAGCCAATGGTGCTGTTATACAGAGAAACCCTGTCTCCAAAAAAAAAAAAAAAAAAACCAACATAAAAAAGATTTAAAAAAAAAAAAGAATGCAGGCCTGGATCCCCACCCAGGTAGGAAGTACATGATGGGGTAGGATTTGGATAATTCTGTGTGTAGTAATGGAACAACTTGACTCCCTCTTGTGAAGGATGAGGCAGTTAGTATTTATAAATTTCTGTTTATTCTTATTCTCCCATCTTAAATTTTTCTGTTAAATTTAAAAAAATATCTATTCATAGTAATTTTTAAAAATTATTATTTTATGTGTATGAGTTTTGCCTGCATTTATGTCTCTGCACCATGTACACACTTGCTGCTTGTGAAGACCAATCCCCGAGAACTAGAGTTACTGATGATTGTGAGTTGCCGTGTGGGTGCTGGGAATTGAACCCAGGCTTTTGGAAATGTGGCAAGTGTTCTTAACCGCTGGGCCACATCTCACACCTGAATTTTTATTGTTGGTTTTGTTTTTTTCTTTTATATTCAAAACAAACCTGTGGAGTCTCCATTTTGGTGGTACTCAGCCGCTCAGTTATTTAGAGTGCTTGTGTTGATGGAGGCTGCTTGTTTGTTTCTCGCTGCCCAGACCTGAAATAATCACATAACAAACTATATTAATTACAGCATTGCTTGGCCAATACCTTAGGCTCTTCTTATTAACTAACTCTTACATCTTAAATTAACCCGTTCCTATTATTTTATATTTTACCATGAGACTTGTGGTTTCCCGGTAAGGTTCTGTGGCGACTGTCTCCTTTGGCAGCTACATGGTGTCTCCCTGACTCTGCCTGTTTTTCTCTTCTATCTCTGCTTGGAATTCCTGCCTTGTCTGCGCTGGCACAGGCCCAAGTAGCTTCTTTATTCATTAACCAATAAAAGCAACACATGTATAGAGGGACATTCCACACCATTTCCCCTTTTCTGTCCAAATAAAAAGAAAGGTTTTAACTTTCACATAGTAAAGTAACATATAACAAAATAGTTATCAAGCAAGAATTATAATTGCATGACCATGAAGCAGTGTGTAACATGCTGCTCACAGACCCCATCTAAGTGCTGGCCTCCTGAAAGAGCCAGAGCTGTTTGTGTGAACCAGGAAGCCTTCTTAAAGGAGCCATACAGTTTTTGCTGTTACTGCTGAGCCAGGAAGCTTTTTTTTTTTTCTTTTCTTTTCTTTTTTTTTTTTAGGGATTGTGTTTTTGCTTGCTTTTAGCAAACAGCCTACCTGAGAAAATGTTACTACCATGAAGCCGTGTGTAACTGGTTTTCTTATTTAGCTCTCTCTGATTTTATGCGGATGTAATTGCCCCACATTGGGTACCAATTTATTGGAGGCTCCTTTAAGAAGGCCACCCAGACCCAAAATAATCACACAAAAAACTATTAATTACAACACTGCTTACCCAATAGCTTAGACTTCTTATTAACTAACTCTTACATTTTAAAGTAACCCATTCCTATATTTTATCACAAGGCTCGTGATTTACCAGTAAGGTTCCTGGACGTCTGTCTCCTTTGGCAGCTACATGGCATCTCCCTGACTCCGCCTTCTTTTCTCTTGTATCTCTGCTTAAAATTCCTACTTTGCTCTATTCTGCACTGCCATAGGCCCAAGCAGCTTCTTTATTCATTAACCAAGAAAAAGAATACATATACAAAAGGACTTTCCACACGTGTGCATGTGTGTGCATGTGTATGTGTGCCCTCCCTTGTTGAGGTCAGAGGACTATCTAGAGCTGGTTCTTCTCAGTTGGGTAGTTCTCTCTCATTTCTGCTGCACAGCCTACTTTGGGTAGATGGTCTGGAGGCTTCTAGCAGGTTCTGTCTCTGCATCCCATCTTGTTGTGAGAGTATTGGGATTACAGATGACCATCCGCACAGCAGTTGTTTTGACTGAGCGCGGGTCGGCAGGCTTGCATAGCAAGCCCTTTTCCTGGCTGAGCCATCTCTGGCCATGGTTCCATCTCTTACCAGGCTTCTGTTTCTTGCTTTTTATTAAAAGAACTGAGGGGGTTTTATTTTTGGGTTTGTTCCTGTCTCAGACTCTGCCTATTGCCTTTGTACTCAAAAAAAGACCTTGAGTAGTTATAGTATCATATCAGAGCCACATTCATCCCCTCAGATCCTTTGCAGAAAAGTCTGGTTTGAATGCAGTTGCAGAGAATCCAAGGCCAGATGTGCTCCCTTCCGTCCAGAGAGTCAGAGCAGCCTGCAGGAGCACCTCCTAGCCTGGCTTACTGTGTTCCAGGAAGCGGCTGCATCGTGCCCTTTCTCTTCCATGTCTCACATTTCCTATGGTCAGTGAGATGGTTTCTTTCCTTTTCCCGTCTTTGCTAAAACCCTCCAGACCCTCACCTGCCTTATTCAATTGTCATTTGTGTCTATTGTAGACATTTTCGCTGTTCAGTGTAGTGTTTTGCCTGCACTATGGGATGGTTCAGGAGTTGGACAAAGGGCTGGAGATTGAAACACACACAGACAGAGACACGGGCCATCCTTGAAACAAGAATGCCCTTTTTAGTGTGTTCCAGGGCAATTTATATGGGGCTCTCCTTGACTAATGGCCACGCCCTAACTCTTAGAACTTTTCAGCTGCAAGCCCACCAGAAACCACTCCCCTGCCATCAGGAACTCATGAGTGTCCTGTGCCTAGAGCAGCACATAGCATAGAAAAACAAGTTGTTTACTCTGGCAGGCAGGGGGTCATAGAAAATTCCGGGTCTGAGGGTCCGCAGTTCCCAACAGTGCAGTAGCAGTGCTAACTCTATTGGTGTCGTTTGTGTCCTCAGCCTAGCTGTGTCTTTTCACCTCAGTGTGTTCATTGTCTCTGTGCCTCTCTAGGATCAGCAGGGCCCTTCATGTCTTGAGGGCCTCAGAGGTACTGCCCTCCTGCCTTCCATTTGCTGGAGCTGTGCCACACTGCCCACGCCATTTCTGTCGTTGTTGGTATCAACACGTATGTTGTCCCCACCTTGTTTTTTTTTTTTTTTCAGGTACATGTAAACAGATGCCTGTCATTGCCTGTCATTTATCTGAATTTATGTGGGGCATGTGTCTTCCCCACTGCCCCACAGCAATTCAAGGTTGCTGGCTCTCTACTGCATCCCAGGCTGAAAAGGAATTGGGTTGCTTCTTGTGGGAAGGCTAGTGTCTGTCTTGTCTTCCCAGATTTCAGTAAATGTTGTGCCAGGGTTCCTCTGTCCTCATTCCAGGCTCCGACTCATCCCCCAAGTATGACCCTGGGAGGTAGCCAGCCCTGCCCCACTCGGTATGTGGATGCGCGCATGGGCATCTGCCCTCAGGCTGTTCCTGCTGCCCTTGCGATCTGTGGGACTTCTCGGGGCTCAGCTCTCAGTCTTCCAAATCCAGAGTCTTTCTTTCCTTGGCCAGCTCTTCAGAATTTTAAAAACATTTGTTTCTCTTTATCTAACAGGACCTCACTGTGTAGTCCTGACTGCCTTGGAACTCATAAATCCTCCTGCCTCTGCCTCTCGAGGGCTGGGGTTAAAGGTGTGCTCTTCCACACCAAACTGTTGAAAAATCTTTGTGTTTTGTTCGTTTCACTGAGTATTGAGGCAAGACAGGATTTATGCTGACATTCATGTCTCTCCTTGTTGACTTATCTCCTTTTTTAAAAAAACAAAACAAAACAAACAAACAAAAAAACCATCCCTGGTTGTTCTGGAGCTCACTTTGTAGACCAGGCTGACCTCGAACTCACAAATCTCCACCTGCTCTTCCTCCCAGGTTCTAGGATTCAAGGCGTGCGCCTCATGCTCCATGCTCCGCTTCGCTCCCTTTCTTGCTCTAATGAAATGGACTTTAGTCTGTAACACCAGCGTGCCCAGAGCCCACGCTCAGTGAACGGGAAGCGACTCGGAAATGAACTGTTGGCGCAGTGCTCGCCTGTCTCTGCAGTTACTCTGCCATCTTTCCTAATGTCACATTTCCATGATGTACTTTTAATGAAATTGAAGCACTCAAAAGATTTCCAATAATGCCTCAAGCTCAAGTATAACAAATGTTTGCGCAGCCTGCCAGCAAGTCTGTGAAAAGCAAGCAGGAGGCGGCCCTCCTAGGCACTAGGTGTGCCTCCCAGCCAACGAAGGACAGCTCTTTGCTAAATGTCGCAAGTAGGTAGCAGGTAGCACTGTAGGTTCTCCAAGTTGGGTGTCCGCTCTCCATCCTGCTGTGCACAGCCTGGCTGCTTGGGCGCCTTCCTCCCCAGCCTTCCTCACACCCATTCTCAAGTACCTTCTTAGTTCAGATGCTCCCTGACTTTCTGCATTTCCCTCAGAGCCACACCTCCCACCTTTACACCATCCACATTGGAACAACAGCATCAGCCCTTTCCTTGGCTTTCTGTGACCCTTCTATCTGTTTTTGCTTGCCCTCCCTCACCTCCAGTTAGATGACACCCTCCCGAGCTTGTCTGAGGTCATCTTGCTATGCTCTTAGCCTCGATTAACTGCACGCGATTTCTTGCGCGGCAGCCTCCTCTGATTTCATCTCTCTTCTTGGTAGCCCCTGGAACACCTGAAGTTTGTCTTGTGGAACAGCGAGCCATTGTTAATTTTGCCCATTGAGCAAATATTTGCTAGGAGTCTGCTGGGTATCCTGCCCCTTTCCAGGACCCATGAGGAGTACTGAAGCCCAGAAGCCGCGGCAGGCTCTTTCCTTATGGAGCCCCTAGCTTCCTGACCAGCAGGAATAAACGGCCACGAAAACGAGATTCCTTCCCTGTCTTTATTCGGAGCACTCGGTTGAGGAAAATTGGGGGAAGGGAAGAGAGAGCGCAGGGACGAGAGAAAGATTAGAGAGAGCTTAGAGAGAGAGCGAAAAACCCAAAGACAGCCGCTTTTCTAGGGTGAGAGGCTCGAATGCTGATTGGTTGATGCCATTCTGCTAGGGCCCAAGGCCACAGCACAGGTCAGGAAACCAAGTCTCTGAAATGCAAAACAAGGTTCCAAGCACACTGGCCTGTGTGGCAACATCAAAGGATTTGTATACCTCCAGGCTGTAGAACTGCTGGCACTATCTCACCAAGGCAACATCCTGGCGGCTCCTTACACACAGGAAACAAGCTGTTCATTTTAAGAAACAGGAAAGTGGTGACATCATGAACGTACAACTTTGTGCTGGCGTTCTGTGGTTTGTGTATGTCAGGCAAGTTGACAGTTTGTAGTGAGGGAACCGGTCCGATGGAGCAGGACTAGACCAGAGAGGAGCGTTGGGTGTGAGCCTTGAGGAATCTAGAACTTCCCTCATGGGAAGTTGAGGGCATGTGCTTTGACACTTCTGCAGAGAAGCGTGGAGGAGAGCCTGCTGTCCTGGGAATCGGGGGCTTCCTTGCTCCACTGGTCCTGGATGGAACTCAGTCAGCAGTTCATTCTTGAGACTGGATTGGATGGCTCCAAGGCCTTGTGAGTCACTCTCAGACCTCATGTATAGGGAAAGGGAAGGAACAGTCTGGGCAGATTGGTCGCCTGTGGGAAAAGGCATGGGGTCAGTTACTGCAGATCCCACCAACCAAGTGTACCAGTTTGATCTGGCATGGTCAGATTTCATTTGGCACTAGGGACCCTTGTGACTGGAGTAAGAAGAAAATACCTGAGAAGCTGAGTCTAGCTGGGGTCTGGTCACATCCAGGTGCCCAGCAGGGATGTGGGGCCCGATGTGTTAGACCTGAGTCCTGCCCTACACAGTCACTTGTCACATGTACAGCTTAGGTGGCTTTGCAGAGCTTTTGTCAGGGGGTGGGAAGCATGGCTGTCCATTCCTCTGGGGTTATTGTGGTAGCTATGTGAGCTGCATGCTGGTAAAGTGATTGGCAAAGGCTTGGCACAGAAACAGTGCAAAAGATTAATTCCCTTAGCATTCACAGGTGTCTGCTAGACTCCTGCTGTCGGCCTGGCCACTGTGGGCTGCAGTCCAGCAGGGAGAAAGCCCGAATGAGAAGGTGAAAGGTGATCCATTCCGATGAGATGTCGGGTATGACAAGTGACTTGGAAATAGTGGCTGTCGGGGAGAGAGCAGAGGTCTTCCCCTTGGCGTTATCGGTTGAGGCGACAGTTCTGATACGGGCTGGGCTGGCACTGAAGGATGTTTAGCAGCCGGCCTAGCCTGGCATCCACCCACTAGATAGTGGACCTTTCAGTTCTGACAACCAAAAATGTTCCTGACGTTACCCAGTGTCCGAAGGGCCACAGCCAACTCCTGTTGAGAACTGCTGGGCTAGAGGATGGAGCGGTTCTGTCTTGATGGTGCACATCGGGCAGGCCTCTTTGAAGGTCGAGAGGAGCTCTGAGTGCTAGAGTTGGGGCAGGAGCACTGCAGAGGACCAGCACTCGGGCCTTAGAGCAGGCTGCAAGCTACAACAAGGAAGGGAGGGGAACAGTGACCACGGAGTGTCCTCTGAGGTGGTGGTGTGGATTGTGGATCTTGTCTTGAGTGCTGAAGTGTGGTGGAATGCTCACGGAGGATGTCAAGCAGGGCCGAGCAGGGTCTTCCAGCTCCTACATGAAGAGGCTCCCTGTTTAAGAGGGTGGCAGGGCCTGGTCGGCCGAGCGGAGATAGTTGTAGTTTGGGCCAGGATAACAGCAACTGTGTTAGTTTGATCCCTGGGAAGCAGATACCCAGGCAGTTAGGTGTTCAGAGATTACCTGGGGGAGAGAACCAGAGGGGAAGAGGTGTGTTCTCAGGACGCCATCAGCCTGACCCCTGAGGAAGAAGGTGCCAGTGGAGAAGGAACTGCCGGGAGGGGGATACCGGGATACAAGCTGTGAGAGGCTGCTGGGGACCTGGGATGGGGGCAGGGGACTGAGGGCTCAATGGAGATGAGTTTGTGAGGGGAGTCCTCAGGATGAACGGAGGGTAGTGCTCCCTAGCTCTCAGGCCCCAGATCAGAGTGGAGGTAAACCAGATGTCCCTGTGATGGGGACCCAGGATGCGGACTGTGGGGCTGGGGTTTTGCTCTGGTTTTAAAATAGGAAGCATTAATGCTGTGCTGACAGGAAGGGAAAGCTGAGGTGGGAAGGTTGTAGGTGTGGGCTTCCTCACAGGTGTGGCCTTGGGTACATGGTAGTGGATGATCTGGCCACAGTGAGGGAGAAGTGACAGGGAGGAGTAAGAACTAGCTAACAAGGACAGCAAGGAGAGCCAGGAATGGTGGGGAAGGGATGGGCCAGGCTGACTGCCCATCTGGTGCCTGTTGCTGCTTCCCTTGGTTAGTGGGCTCAGCAACCCTGGTACCTGCCATGCTTGCTCCTGTGCACCTGTGTGACTTTTGAGAGGGCGTCTGCCCTCCTCTTACTCAGTGGGTGTAGCATCAGGTGGTGCTCAGTTTGGCTCTAAGTAACCAACGTGGTAGCTGTTATGTCCACGTTGTTTCTCCATATTATAAAATGTCCTAAAGAGAGCAGTTCTCACTGCCCCACATCCCAGCAGTGTCAGGGCTGAGCTTGCTGTGTCTTCCTATGGGCCGCCCTTAACTTTTGGCCTTTGGTCTTGGACTTGTGTCCTACGGTTGCAAGAGGGCTGCAGCTGCCTTTGAAGAAGGACGAGACAAGGTTGTGCACAGGAGAGGGCTCATCTGTGTTTGTACGGAAAGTGCTGGCTCCTTGGAAGTAGGACCTACAGGCTTGTTTATGTCGTAAGACAGAACTGGGCCATGGGCATCAGCTGGTTGCAAAGGAGCTGCCCTGTGCTTGTCTCTGAGGCCAGGGAAGCTGGGGTGAAAGCGCTGGGAAAGCCCAGGGGACAGTGACCTGAAGTGTCCCTCAGAGGTTTTGTCACCAGAGGAGCAGCTTTAATGATCAGCTGACTAGGTGTCGCTTGCCCATGTGGTCCTCCGTACGGGCTGCTGCCTGCCATGGGCGGGACGGGGACAAGTAGCACCAGCATAGTAACCGCTGTGTCAGCCCACGCTTCTGGTGTGGTGCCGTAGATGTCAGTCTCTTCCTCTCCAGGGTTTTTGGGGGTGGGGGAGGCTGGAGAGTCTCGGAGACAGCATTATTTATTTATTTGTTTGTTCTCCAGCTGAGACAGCAAGAAAGATGGTTTGTTGTACATGAGTTACAGTTGGCCATGAGTAGGGGACACAACTGCTCCAGAATGGCCTAGGTTGAGGGCTGACGGCCAGCAGAGCTGTGGGGGGTGAGGGGCAGTCAGTCTCCCAGGCGGTGTCGGGAGCTTGTACCAGTGTCCTGGCTTTCGGTCTCCCTAACTCCTTCTTTCTTTCCTTCCTTCCTTCCTTCCTTCCTTCCTTCCTTCCTTCCTTCCTTCCTTCC